GGAATAACATCACACTCATTTGGCTTACAGACTATTGTGTTTGCATGTGTCTTGGCTCAGCTTTGTCTGCTCATGGTTGGAACCCTGCTGCCTGAGTCATACCTTACTTCTAGCTTTTTGTTGGTTATTTGTCTGTCCTGGCTGATTTGGAGCAGTGGGCCTCAGGTCTTAGACTCCTGAATAGCTAGGATTATAGGTGAGAGCCACTGCTCCCTGCTAAACTGTTTTTAAAATAATAAAAAAAAAGCTTCCTTCATTTGACATTTTAAACAGAGCCTTAATGTTATAAAATAAAGGGGCACTGCTCTAGTCAAGGCAAGGGGTAGGATTATTTTTTTTTTTTTTGGGTCCGGTCGTGGGACCTGAACTCTGGGCCTGGGCGCTGTCCCTCAGCTCTTCAGCTCAAGGCTAGTGCTCTACCACTTGAGCCACAGTGCCACTTCCGGCTTTTTTTCTTTTTGCTTATGTGGTGCTGGGAATCGAACCCAGGGACTCAGGCATGCAAGGCAAGCGCTCTTACCACTGAGCCACCTTCCCAGCCCAGGTAGGATTATTTTTATTTCTGACTATAGTCCCTGGAGTGTTTTCAGAGAGGATCTTTGATACGTGGAATGGTGAATACCTGCTTTTGTAGGCTAGTTCCACCATTTGTGTCTTAGGACCAACATTGGGAAAATGTTTGTCCTCCTTGAACCTCATGTGTAAAACCCACCTTACAGGTTGCTGCCTAGCTTATTAGTATCTGGTGCTTACAATGAGCCACTCAGTGAAAACTACTGCTATCCCCCTTTCTCATTTGGCTTATAGCATACCTGCAATGTCAGTAAAAAGTCATCCTAGTAAAATTAAAATCATTTTGCCAAGAACATTTTTGCTTTTTTTTGGTTGGGAAACTGGTTGTTTGTTTTGTTGTTGTTTTTCAAAACAATCAATGTATTTCAACCTTTTCTTGGCTGTTAGGGGTTTCTGATAGCAATTCTCCAGGGTTAAGTAGTGCTGGGGGCGGGGGCGTGAGATACAAATAGACCCCTCCACTTTCTGAGTAAGTTAATTGGTGAAAATTCAAGTTATTTACTTAATAGTTTGTATACTTTTCTGTACTTTCATTAAAAATTTTAGTTTACAAAGTCTGGCCAGGTCCTGGTGGCTCATATTCTAGCTATTTAGAAGACTGAGACTTGGAGGATCAAGATTTGAAGCTAGCCAGGGCAGAAAAGTATGAGAGAGTCCATCTCCAATTTGCCAGCAAACAGCTTGGTCTGAAGGCGTGATTCAAATGCTAAAGCACCAGCTGTGAGTAAAAACCTGATTGAGAGGCTCTAGTACTGGTATACAAAAAACAGTCTTTACTAAGTAACCACAGATGGATGTAACAATTCCTTACTCCTGTTGGTTGCCACATTTAGTAGCCTTTGCTTTTTCTGTCCTAGGAGGCCTTCCTAAACTGGAAAACATTGTCTTGTCTCCTCTGGCAGTTCTCTCTAGGAAAGTGGCTCAGAGATACAAATCTTTGTAATCGGGGCTTGGAAAGTGGCTCAGTGGTAGAGCGCTTGCCTTGCATGCCTGAGGCCCTGGGTTCAATTCCTCAGCACCACATAAGTAAAAAGAAAAAACCCAGAAGTGGTGCTGTGGCTCAAGTGGTAGAGTGCTAGCCTTGAGCTGAAGAGCTGAGGGACAACACCCAGGCCCAGAGTTCAGGCCCCACAACCAGACCCAAAAAAAAAAACAACAACAAATCTTTGTAATCAACTGTCTTCCTTTAGTTTCTTTCTTTGACTCTTGTGCAGAAAGATCAAGGTTAATATGGGACATAGCTAGTGCTCTAGTCATGGATGAATTGGAAAGGTACCTCTTTGTCTGATAGCATCTAGTACTTTACCTGTTTCTAGAGACTACTAAGAGCTTGACTGGCTTCTTGACCTAAACTGTAGTAGAGCACTATTGTCCCTAATTCACCTACAAGGTAACAAGGTACTGAAAGAGATTATAAAGTGTTAGCATATACATGGTTGTTTTTTAATGTTGGAGAATGGGTAAATAATTACTGCATATTCTACTTGGAGTTGTTTTAATACAATTCAGCAAACCAGGCAAATTTTTAGTGGAAACTATTTGGAAATAAAAACAGTCAAAAAGCTTTATGTGGCTTTTATGTTTGTGTTTTGAATGTTTTTGGAGCCTTCTGTTCTGTGTGGTCCAAAGGCAAAAAAAATTTCAGCCTATATTTATTTTAAATTCCCAAACACTTTAGTGTTTAATTATTTAACTTTACCAATTATTCATTCTTGTGTAAGAAAAAAATCAGCATCAGAATGTTTGTACTTGTGTTTTCTGACTGTGCTTAATAAAATGTAGTAGATGAGAATGAGAAGATTCAGGAGGGAAGAAAAAGATACTAAGTCTATTCCAATACTAACAGTCTTGGTTTGCTTTCTATCTTAAGAGCTATAAAGTTATTAATTTTATTTTACCTTTGTTTTCATTTACAAAAATGTCCTATATGCAGGGTATAATTATTTTTCTTTTTTAACTTGTAAAGCTATGTTAAAAGTTCTATAGGAGCTGGGCACCGGTGCCTCAAGCCTGTAATCCTATCAATTTAGGAGGCTGAGATCTGAGGATCCCGGTTTGAAGCCAGCCCAAGCAGGAAAGTCTGTGAGATTCTCATCTAAGTGGCTCAAGTGGTGGAGCACTAGCCTTGAGCAGAAGAAGCTCAGGGACAGTGGTCAGGCCTAAAGATCAAACCCCAGGACTGGCAAAAAAAAAAAAAAAAAAAGTTATATAAGTTAGGCATGTTACAATTTCTTAAGATGAGTCAGGCTCACACCTGTAATCCTAGCTGCTTGGGAGGCTAAAATTGAGAGGACAATAGTTTGAGGCCAGATGGCAAAAAAAAAGTTTTCAAGATCACTTCGAAATCAACAACTGGCCATAGTGAGCCATGTCTGTCATCCTAGGAATATGAGAAGATTGAGGGTGATGGAATTCAGAGAACTGATTTGTTATCTTTTAGTCTAGCTCATTACCCATACAGGAATTCCTTCTAAAACATCAGTCTGCATTAGCAACTGCTAAAAAGGGATCACTGATTTTCTTCAAGGCAGCTCACCCAGTTGTAGAATTGCTGTCTGGAAGCTTTTTCACTAAAGCTAAATCTGTTCTGTATTTAACTTCACAGGCAGCCCATATATTTATCTTCATGTATCTACCTTCTAGCATTATTTCTTCCCAGCTCTTCTGCACCCATTACACTGATCAGATTTTTCCTTCTGGTTTTGTTACAATTCTTCATCCTCCATCACAGGATCTACCCTCACATTTTCCTTAGTCCCTGCTTCACAAAGTAAATAAGTAAAAACTAAAAGCATAAATAAATAGCAAGCTGGGAACCCAGTGGCTCATGCCTATAATCCTAGCTACTTAGGAGGCTAAGACCTATAGAGTCCAGATTTATAGCCAGTCTGGGCAAGAAATTCTGAGAGTTATTTCTAGTTAACTGCCAAAAAGCCAGAAGTAGAGCTGTGGCTCAAGTTGTAGGTGGACAGTCCAAGCCCTCCTGACTTCAAGCCCCCCAATACCACACATACACCAAGAAAAGAAATAGCAAGCTGGGAGCTGATGGCTCACACCTGTAATCCTAGCTACTCAGGAGGCTGAGATCTGA